ACCTCTATAAAAAACCTCCCAAATCCTAAGCTTGGGAGCCGTGGCGATGGGATGAATGGCCGGCGGGTTAGCCGGTCGCGAGCGGTCCACCCCGGGGTACCTGGAGCACCCCGGGTGTATCTAGCCCGAACCCAGGCGTGGGGCTCCGCCTGGGGGGTAAATACTTCCTCCAATTTTTATGGCCCGCTCTATAAGCCTCCGGGTGACAAGGGATGGGCAACCAAAAATGATGTTAAAATTTAATTCAAAACAAGACGTCGCAGGAGGAGAGGAGGAAGAGATGGAGGCGTATGCCTCTCTCTCAGATGGACGAAACACGCCCAACGCTGAGCCGACCACCAGCTCAGCCGGGAGGGATGAGGCCAGCAGTGGCCTCATTGAAGTGGCTGGGGAGAAAGAACACCCCAAGGAGAGTGTGGGGTGCCGCACGAGGTCATCGTCGGCCTCGGCGCGCCCCCGCATCGATGGAGAGGGCAGCCTTGGCGCGGGGAGTAGCGACAGCGACATCAGCTCGCGGTCGGGCTCCCCTGCGCAGAACCCAAGGTTTGCCAAAAAGGATGGGCGGGGACGGCCCGTTGTGCGTTCCCGTACAGGGGACTACACGGCGGCCGCTCTTGCGCACAAGAAGAGGGAGAAGGAGAAATGCGACGCGATTGCAGACGTGAAACAGGTAAAGGACCCTTTTATACGCCCGCAGTCCCAGAGGGCCCTCCGAACTCAGGAAGAGGAGGGGAGGATCCTCCGCGACCTGCGGTCAAAGCAGACTGCTGAAGTCTCGTCGATGGCCCTTCAGGCCGTCGACGAGGTGAAAAAGGTCGCGGAGCGATCCAAAAATATGAAGGGAGCCTACAAGGGTGCCCTCTGGGACGCCGCGGCCAAAATGGCCGCATGCAGCCTCGCTCTCATTCAGAGAACCGAGATAGTCGATGGCTCTGGGCAGAGCGAGGCTGCAAGGAGGGAACAGGAGACGGCCTCGGCCGAGATGGAGCGCCTACGAGTCGAGGGCGCTCTGCTTCGGCTCGAGGTCGACCGCCTTAATGGTGAGCTGGAGAAGGCCCGAGCATCCGGCCCCTCCAGCTTACCAACGGCGATCTCCATTATGGAGATCGATAAGCCGGAGCCTCTGAATATGGAGGTGGATCAGTGGACGGGCCACACTTCCCGGGACTCGTCCGCCGATCGAAAGAGGAAGAGGGCGGAAGGCGTTGGGGAGGAATCCCCGCTCCCCTCCCAGCCCATCAATAATAAAAAGAAAAAAAAGGTGACCCGGCGCCTCTCGTCTACCTCCAGTGAGGAGGAAGCGACAGTCGAGGGAGGCGTCGGGTCCGCCTTGCCACTCCTCCCGACTCCCGAAGAAGAAAGGATCGGGAAACAATGTCGGGAGGAGGTAGCGAGGGACATAGCGGAGGGAACCATTCCCCAAAGGGAGGCTCCCCCTCTCCGGGCACGTGACGGTCTCGTTGAGGGTGTGGCTCGACTCCTCCCCGAGAAAAAGAAAAAGGGGAAGAAAAAGAAAAAGGCCACTGTGGTGGTAACGGCGGGTGTGGGGGCAATCCCCGCAGCCCGTCGAGTTGCTGGTGGGCGACATCAGGGGGCCGCGGGGGGAGGACTTCTCCTCCCCTCGACCGACAATGTGCCCCTATGGTCGCGGGACTGAGTGGTGGGGAGCTAGAGGCTCTTGTAGTGGCCCTAGTTCCCCGCCTTATGGACGCAATGGGGGCCGTCATCCCCGGAATCACACCCGGGGGGCGGCCCGCGTGGCCTCATGATGAGAACAGAAAGGTAGGAGGAGGGGGAGAGGAAGGGAGCCGCGCAACGCGCCCTGACTCTCCCCCTGTGGCCAGGTCCTCCGCGACCTCCACCCCCGCGGAGGCCAAACGGCTTGAGGTGGCGGGGGAGAGCAAGCGAAGGAAGAAGAAAAAGAACAAGAATGGCGCGGGTGACCCGTTACCCCCTGTGGGTGGGAGGGCCGCCCCTTGTAAGTGCGCCTGTTCGTGTAGAGGAGTCAGGCCCCTCCCCCCAGAGTCGGACTGCACAGGTGCGATCGGTCGGGGGAGCCAACCCTCCCTCCTCCGCCACCGGGCCTGAGACCACTTGGGCCCGGGTGGTTGGAGGAAGGGAGAAGCAGAGAGAAGGGGGGGACAAACAGGCCCCCCAACCTGGCCCCCAAAAGCCGGGGCCCCAGAAGGGTGCTGCGGCTAAGGGGGGCGATAAGAAGAAGACACGGGACGAGGGAGGCGGGAGAAAACCCGTCCTCCCGAAGGGTCCTCGCACCGCCGCCGTCACGGTAAGCTGCCCTACGGGCAGCTACGCCGATGTTATGCGACGGGCGAGGGGCAATATTGATTTAAGTGAGCTGGGGATCAGGGATCTCAGGACCAGAAGGGCCGCCACAGGCGCGCTGGTCCTTGAGATCCCCGGTCCCGAAGGACAGGCTAGGGCGGATGCCCTTGTCCGTATGGGTGGCGGACGTAAAGAATACCCCCAACGTATAGCCTGCGTGTCGTAAAAGGCGACTAAAAGGCCCTCATGGGTGGGTTGCTGCGCCCATGAGTACCAGGAGCCGGAGGGCTCCCCTCCTTCTTGCTTCAGAGAGGGAGGGGAGCCCAATGGCGCCTACAGCAGGGGAGCGCACCGGATCCCTTATGCCAGTATGGTACCGGTCTCTCGGGTGGGCAGCGGCGCCCGAGAGTATTAGAAGGAAGCGAGCGCGCCCGGCTGTCCTTAGGGCAGCCGGTGCGGGTAAACCGACCTCACCGCGGGGGCAGTCGGGTCCCTAATGCCAGTACGGCAACCGGCCTCCCGGGTGGGCAGCTGCGCCCGGGAGTAGCAAGATCCCCGGTGAATGCTTCACTGGGGATCCACAGCGGGGGCAGGGCGGGCTCCTGAGGTTCCGTTGAGCCAAACCGCCCTAGGGGGCGGCCCGAAAAGCCGGCCGGGTTGGGGGCCGCCGTCATGCCCCCCTTTACAAATATGATGACAGACAAAAAGGCGAAGATCTCCGGCGGATCGGATACGTCGGGCCGGCACGGGGGGGCTATGGTCCCAGGCCCGCCCCCCCTGTCAACAAATGATGGGCCGGACGAGGGTGTGGCTGCCGGCACGCCGACGGCGGGCGCGTCGGTGGTTCGGGCAACCGCCAAGGGGAGGGGTGAGGCAGGGCGAGCGGATGGAGAGAGAGAAACGGGAGGGGGGGAAAGAAGGAAATTGGAAAAGCAGGAGGAAAGGATTGGGCCAGGATCTGAGGAACATATGGAGGAAGAGAAGGATAGAGAAGCGGAGGAGGTGGAAACATGGCCTGAAATTGGGGAAGATGCAGAAACTTCGTCCTGCAGAGAATGGATTGGATAAGGGAGTGTGCTAGGATGCTGGATGAGGTGTGCGAAAGGAGGGCCGCACAGAGAAGGACAAAATTGATAACGGAAAGAATATGATATCGTATTGCGAGGATGTGGTAAAAGTATGCAATATAAGGAATAAACATTGGGAGGAAACAACAAGAAAGGACTCAGAAATGAATAGGTTATTGAGGGAAAAGAATGATGATATGGTAGATCTGGAGAAGCAGCGGGGAATTAAGGAAGGATGGGAAAGATTATATATGAAAGAGGAGGAAAAGTTGAAGGCAGAAAGAGAAAAATGGGAGAAAGAAAGGAAGGCCTGGCAGAGGGAAAGGGATGGACTGGAGGATGAAGTGCTAGTATGGAGAACGGGAGGGAGGGAAAAAAAGGAAAAGGGCCGGAACGTGTCTCCGGCCCACATGGAACGGCTGGATCGGGCCGTGTCTCCGTTCCCGGAGACGCGACCCGATATGAGGGACCGGGCGACGTCCCCCCTGCGGGGCCCGATCGTCGGACGGGAGAGGAGGATACCGGCGGCAGGGCTGGTGCCGGCCGCCGCGGGATCGATTGCGCCCTCCTTGCCTGCCGCGGCCCCTCCAATAGATCGGGGTTGGGCCGTGGCCGGCGGGGGGAGGTGCTAGGAGGAGGAGGAAGGGCCTCATGTGGGACGGCAGGGAGGCGCGAGCTCCGGGGCGTCTGGTGGCGCCGAGGGCGGTGCCGGCGCCTCCGGCGACGGCGACGGTGGTGATCCGCTTGGGGGAGG